GCTGAACGTCGTAAAATGCTCAAAAGTGGGTATTTCTGAGCAGAAGGACTAAGGGTGGGCAGGAAGGGAGGAAACCTTTCACTTTTTTATACCTTTATGTATTTTTTAAAAAATTAATGCATTATTTTTGTTATTTCATAATAAAACTTTTAGATCTCAATAAAAAATTTCTTTCCATCCCCAAAATCCTGGTTAGTGGTGGAGACAGAAAGTGGCCAAGTCTGTCTGGTGAGACTTGTTGCTCATATGTCTCCTTCTACAGGAACACATCTGGGCCCCTCTGGTCACACCTCCACCTGAGAGCAGCACCTGCGTCCTTGGCAGCCCTACGGCCTACACTGTGAGCTGCCCTCTGATGGTGCTGACTGCCCACCGTGGTGACTGAGAGCTCCCAGGGGCCGGCCCAGCATTTCTGGAATGACAAGAGCTCCCTGAATTTACTACAGGAAAACAGCATTCTGTTTAAAAAAAAAAAAAAAAAAATTCTTCTGGGGCGCCTGGGTGGCTCAGTCAGTTAAGTGTCTGACTCCTGATTTCAGCTCAGGTCATGACTGCAGGGTCATGAGATCAAGCCCCAAGTCAGGCTCTGTGCTGGGTGTGGAGCCTGCTTAAGATTCTCTCTCTCCTTCTGCTGCCCCTCACCCCACCCCAAGCTTGCACACTCTCTCTCTCTAAAACAAAATGCAAAATAAATCTCTTGAGACTGAGGGTAACTCCAATCTAGAACAAGCTACCAAGGGAAGGTCTTTGGAGAGCCTAAGAATGTATCTGTCTATAAGCTGGAGACTAGAGCTCTGACCTCCTGAGGGCCCTGGCGCCTTGACTGCACAGGTCAGAAACTCCAGCCTATGCTGCTTGCTCGCTTTTCCTTTTTCCTAACTCAACGTAACTTCATGTCCTCTTCTTTCCTTTCTTTCTTTAATCAGCTCTGTTGCGATGTAATTCACACACCGCACAATTCACCCATTTAAAGAGCACAATTCAATGGTTTTTAGTGTAGTCACAGAGCTGTGTGACCATCACCACAATCAACTTTAGAACATTTTCATCACCCAAAAAAGAAGCCCTGTACCTTTTGGTAGTCATCACGTCTCCTCCAAATGCCCACCTCTCCTCAGCCCTAGGTAACCATCAGTCTATTTTCTGTTTCTATTGATTTGCCTGTTTTGGACACTTCACACAGATAGAATCATATAACATGTGGTCTTTTATGACTGACTTCCTTTACTTGGCATGTTTATATTTTTCTCATTTTATATTTTTAATTACACAAGAAATGTCCTCCTTTTTTAAGAGTCAGAAAACAACAAATAAAGCTAAATTCCCTATGAACACCACCCTAGTCCTTTCCCACCTCCCCAAAGATTAACTGACGTTTTGAGTGCGTGGCCTAACCTTCCACACATCAGGGCTCAGAAAACTTTCTGTTAAGGTCCAGATATTTTAGGCTTTGTGAAGAGCAAGTTCTGTCCTAACTACTGGATTCTACCTTCATAGACCAAAGGTAAGTGAAGGGGCATGACTGCGTTCCAATAAAACTTTATTTACAAAAACAGAAGGCAGGCTAGATTTGATTCATGAGCTAGAGTTTGTCAACCCCTATTCTACAGGAATATATAACGCATGTTAAAGCATAAAAAAAGATCCAGAACAGGGATTGGTCTTTTGGGTTTTTTTTTTAAATAAAGCTTTCCTGGAATACGGCCATACCCATTCATTTATGTGTCATCTACAAAAGTCTCTACTGATTGCAAGGCCCACAAACCCTAAAATGCTTACCACGTGGCCCTCTGCAGAAAAAGCTTGCTGAATCCCACTATGGAAAATATGCCCTATTTTTTATATGTTCTTTTTACATATTGCATTAGACTCTACATAATATTCTGCAATTTCCTTTCCTTTTTTTTACTGGACACTGTTTTTGAGATCCATCAGTGTGGATATGTGCAGGTCTAATTAAAGCTGTAACTGCCATAGTTCCTTTGTATGAATAGACCATATCTTATTTAGCCATTGCCAAATTCATGGATATTCAGGTTGCTTCAAATGTTCCACTATCACTAATGGTGCTGTGAGGAATATCCTTAAGATCAACCCCTCGGGGGATGCCTGGGTGGCTCACGGGGTTAAGCGTCTGCCTTCAGCTGAAGTCATGATCCCAGGGTCCTGGGATTGAGCCCCATGTCGGGCTCCCAGCTCAGTGGCGAGCCTGCTTCTCCCTCTCCTCCCCCTCCTCCCCACTTGTGCTCTCTCTCGCTATTTCTGTCTCTCTCTCAAATAAATAAAACCTTCAAAAAAATTTGAAAAGAAAAAAAAAAGATTGCCCCCCCCTGGGGTTCAGGTACACGTTCTTCTCCAGGGCTCAGAGCGGGAACACAGAACACACGCATTTTTAACTGGGGCAGACAGCACCCTCCGGTGTGCCCTGTCCCCACACCCCAGCCTTACTTGGCAAAGAGGGATTTCAGTGCTGACAGCAAGCCACAGGTCCCCAGGCCGTTGGTGAATCTGATGCATCTGTCGACGGCTGCAGAAGCCAGACTGAAGAGCTTGTTCACAGAGTGGCTCAACTCCTGCACACAGTCAATGACTTCGCCGTGCTCCTGGTCAGCGAATACAGACAAACGAGAGGCGCCTCAGACTCGAGAACAGATGAACAGACAACATTAAGATGGGGAAGACCTCCAAACCTCTTCACCAGTGGTCAGGCGGCAGAAACGCAGTCCCAAGCTGCGAAAGCCCTCCCAGAGCCCGAGCCAAGGGGATGACATCCACATGGCCCATGAGATCACAAACACCAACCCCTGGCAGAAAAGCCCTACATTTTTCATCTCTTCCCTTTTTCTGTGATTAGATGGCATCTCTCCTCTGGCTCTAAAGCTAGAATTCAAATTCCCTGTATCAAACACTCCAAAAGAATGTAGGGAAAGGAAAATGCTTCCTTCAGGGGCAAGAATGTAACTGAAATGGAACGGACTTTCTAGGCACATCGCTAGAAAACTGAAAAATGGCAGGAGGTGGCAGAGTGTAACTAGTGTGAGATCTGCTCTTTAACATCAACTCGTGTCATGCTAGATCACCTTAATATTGGCAACAGAAATGCCTTCCCTCGCCCTTGGAGGCCCGCCCAAGCGAACCTGCCCCTGGGGCACCGTCCATGGAGGCTCGGCTCCTGTGTCCATCTGCAGATGTTCCTTAGACCGAAGGCTGCCATAATAAGAATTCATTAAATCAGGGAGATCATCAACTTATCCCCCCCAAAAATTTAAGTCTCTCATTCTGCTGGACCTTTATTTGAGATTTTAAATAGAAAATCAGTAGCATATCCGTGGTCTCATTTTACACTTGGATTGCAAGAGTCTACCAGGTACTTAGAGTCTCTTTTTTGCGAAGCTGTTCCCCATCTATGCACTTTCTCCGGTGCATCCCACCCCCCTCCCTGTGGCTGGCAAACCAAAGGACCCCTCCCTGGCCACTGGCAGTGCTGGGACATTACCAACGGCACCGCGCTGATCTGGATGAGGACGTTCTTCTCTTCCAGGTCGCCGTACTTCAGCTGGTACGGTTTGTACGGAGCATACACAGCCTCCACCAGTTCCGTGACTTTCACCAGGTTGTGCTCATCTTGAGGGAATCAAAAATTAAAATCGATAATGAACAAAGGGGCCGAAATTGCTGGAAAACAACGGGTGAATGGTACTCTACTGGAACTTCTCCGGTTTCATCTAAGGGGTGACTGCCTTTTGTTAATCTGCTTTGGTTGTTCGTGGAAGCTGCAGCAATCACTTCAGTAAATATTTTGATGAATTTGGGCTCTGGGTATAATTTGTCTAGAGCACTATCAAAGACGTCAACTCCCTTTGTCCCACAACCCACCATGGCTAAAAGAATCCCTTCAGATGATAACTCTAGTCAAGATGCAGTTCCAGAAGTGCTACAGAGAAAAGGCTCTGCAGGAAGAACACTTTTCCAGGACTTTAGAGACAGGATACCTCATATGCTAGGCATTCCAAAAATTCCTGTATTCGACTACATAAAAAAATATAAAGCATGTTTGTATCAAAAATCGAAATGGGCATATTCCAGGACACAGCAATTCAGCTTCTAGGCTGAACACTTACACCCAAGTGACTTCAGCATGCACTGATAATCTTTGCCTAAATAAACTTTTACACTGCTGATCTCCTAATCTTTTTGTTTCTTCTACATCTATTCGTAGGCCTTCTCTTGTAATGAACAAATTTTCCTTTCTTGCTCTCTTTAATATGATAATCCCCACAAACTCATAGATTCTTTTTATATTCATATGTTATGATCCATTATTGTCATTATTCATTTCGATGCTCAAATTATTTCGAATTTGGTCAGTGGTTGCCCCTTCAGGCTGCCTCCTGTAATCTTTCTGACACATCCCCTAATCAGCCTTTAAGTGCATCAGCTGGAATCCAAAATCTTCTCTAGCCTGCAAGGACCCACGCAGGCTGACCTCAGGAGGTGAAAGAGGGAGGCAGTGAAACACAAAGGCTCTTTTATCCAAGCTCCCCTGCCTCTTACTTACATGACTTTGTACAATGACAGACCTTTGGATGCCTGTTTCCTCAACTATAAGTTAAGGTTAATAATGGCGTCAATCTTATAAGGCCTTAGTGGAGATTACATAAAATCTGTGTCTAGCATGTGGTAACACTTCATAAAAGCCAGCTCTTTTTATTTATTACTGCCCCAGCCTTTCCTCCTTCACAATTCCCCTGGCCTCTAGCCTTCTCTCCAGTTCCTCGGAAGCACCAGGCTCCCTTCCGGTCACGTGCCGATCCTTCTGTCTGGAAGGACCTTGGTCTCCCTTATCCTCCGGGATCTGGTCACCGCCCATTTTTTTTTCCAGGACTCACTCAGCTCAAGTCACCGGGCTCGATCAGCTTTGTTGGCTCATATATGCTCCTAGAACCACTCGGCTTTTCTTCAAAGTACTCCTCTCATTTTGTAATTATACACCCATTACTATGATCATTAGGTTATCTCCCACCGGAATAGACGTTGGGTGACAGCAGGGACAGTGTCTAGTTTCGCTCGGCATAGCAACCTCAGCATCCAGCATTCCAGTACTCGTCCATTTGTAGTTGAGTGAATAAATTAAACATGTTGTGACCTATCCATAAAGCAGTCATGAAAAATAATTGGACATCTATACATATAAAACACACACACAGCTGGAAACCAGAAATACAACTGGGAAGGCAGAAGGTAAAAATCTGTGGTGGTGGATCTGATTTGGAACAATAAGTATAAACTGGAAATATGTATTTCCTAGCTCTGTCCAATAAAAGGTCCTAGAAGCCCAGCAGTAATGAGTACCCTCGGTGTCCAGACCTTGTTCTAATACCATTTCCCACTAGAAGACACCAGGCTCCTTGGCAAAACACAGGTCTGAGCAGGGAAGGTATGTGTTCCTGGAACAGTTTGTGCCAAACAGCAAGAAAGCTCTCAAAGACTGATGGGCACGTGTCAAAAAGATCCAGGAGGCAGCCCAAAGGGGCAACCACTGACCAAATTTGAAATAGTTCAAGCATCAAAATGAATAGTGGCAATAACAAATCATAACACAAGGAGTAAAAAAAGAATCCATGAATTCACAGTGATATGAAAGTGAGGAAAGGGGGCACCAGGCTGGCTCAGTCAGAGAAGCATGAGACTCTTGATCTCAGGGTTGTGAGTTCAAGCACCACATGGGATGTAGAGATTACATAGTTAAATAAAACTTTAAAAAAAAAAGTGAGGAAAGAAAGGGAAATCTCTTCTTTATAAAAGAAGCCCTGTAATGGAGCGCCTGGGTGGCTCAGGCGTTAGGCGTCTGCCTTCGGCTCAGGTCATGATCACAGGGTCCTGGGATCGAGCCC